AATTAATAACTTTTTCATGGCTAAAGCTCACCAGTTACTTGTTTCAGTTCCAGGAAATACTGGTACGGCCATTTGGGATATCAAATGCAGCTTCCATTCTCTCATTGTTCTTTTAATTGTTTCGCTCGTGGCCGGAGTTGTTTACTTGAGTGGAGAGAGTGGCCGGTTCTTGTTTGAAGATAACAGTAATAGTAATAGCAGTAGTGACAATAATTTGGCTATAGGAAGTCATGAAAATGATGATTTAGTGTCATCTTCAGATAAGTGTAATTTGTTTTCTGGTAAGTGGGTTTTTGATAACAAGTCGTATCCACTATACAAGGAACAGGATTGTAAGTTTATGTCTGATCAGTTAGCTTGCCAGAAGTTTGGAAGAAAGGACTTGGACTACCAACATTGGAGGTGGCAACCTCATCAGTGTGATATCCCAAGGTTCTTTTTTTTTTTTTTAATACAATTCTTCCTTTATTTTCTTTCTTTCCTATATCCACAGAAAATGAGACTTTTCCTCTCATATGCGGAGCTAGAATTTTAGGAAATACGCCTTATTAGGTTCTGGATAAATTATATATATATATATATATATATNTGCTGAACCCGTAAGAATGATAACTTCATCCACGTTTCCTCTTAATGTTATTATTAAATAATTTCGCCTATATATGAGAGTTCCATAGAGTATATTACCCCCCTACTAATTCAGATTGAAGCATAGCTAATACTATGTTACTCCATTACGCTGTTCCTATTTTCACATGCAAAAAAAGAGCTTAATAACAGAGAAAGGATTTAATTATATATAGTGACAAGTGTAAAGAATTTTTACACTATTGATACTTTAGCCTGTTGTACCAAGTAACTAAACTGTCCTATTTTCCACGTGACTTGTTAGTATATTTCTTTTTATATTATTGATGTTTAAAAGTTAAACTCGTTGAAGAATAGGGAAAACACATGGGAGTGGCATTACGAAGTATATATGACTTATTAAAGACTATTCTCAATGGAACGAGATAGACATGTCTTTTTGTTTTTTTTTCTGTTCAGTTTGATCCCTTTTTTGAAAAAAAATATATATGCAAGTGATCATGATATGCATTCTTTTTTCTTTGGTATTTTGGATATAGCTTTTTTGAGCTTTTGGTGGAATGTTTTTCGTCTTAAAAAAGGTTCAATGCCACAGCATTATTGGAGAATCTGAGGAATAAAAGGCTTGTGTTCGTGGGAGATTCATTGAACAGAGGCCAATGGGTTTCCATGGTTTGCTTGATAGATACAGCAGTTCAATCTTCTCTTAAATCCATGCACTACAGATACAACGCTTCCTTGATCATTTTCAAAGTTAAAGTAAGTGAGAATAAAAAAATCCATTCTTCTCCAATTCTTAACTTTAAATGAACTGCCAAAATTTGCAAGTTTCACATGTTATTTTGTCAATTTTATTTGGTTTCTCATCCTGTATTTGTAATCTACATTGGGCTTGACTAATACGGATTGGCGTCGTATAAGGCCTCCTTAAGGGGAGAAGTGCTCTTGATCAAGATTTTTTCTATATTTCCATAGCACCCGAGACCTTTGGTTAAAGAGGGATAAATCCTATCTATCCCATCATAAATTTGAGACATTGTTTGGTTTGGTTAATAACTCAATAACTGCCAAGATTTGCAAGTTTCGATGTTGTTTTGTTAGGTTAATAATTCATATTTATGTATTTTGTTAGATCAACAACATTCTTTTAGCGGTGAGAGTCAATATCAACGGACAAAGTAAAATTTATAAGAAGGATAATGAAAGTTTTTAGCCATTACATAAAGCACCTTAATGTTTACCCCATAAAGAAAAGCTTAAGATTAATGCTTTGTTTGTCCTATTTTACATGTCATAAGCTTACTTTTATTGTCTGACCAACTCTTATGACCAAAATTTAACCTTAATTCTTCAGACTTTAGAAGTTCACACTTATCAAAAACAGATAGAAATCCTATCGAATGATTAAGTTTGATAATCAGATTTAATAGTTGACTGTGCAGTCAACTTAGTTCATGCATGTTAATTTGAGGTAGGAGTGTCTAATTGTTGCTCATAATCTGTTTCTCATTAATTTATACCTACTATGGTAAAAATTTTGCCTTTTAAATCAAGAATGTGTTAGAGAGGGCCAATATGCACCTACTTGATATATTTAATTCCTTAAGAAAAATTTACACCAAAATGATCGTCTATATCATTGGTCGGATAAGTACAAAAAAGAAAAAAAAAAAAAAAAAAAAAAAAAAAAAAAAAAAAAAAGGTTGCCCCGAATATGCATGGGGTCGGGAAGGGCCAGATAAAAGCGCCGTCTGTGGGATCGAACCCACGACCACGTGGTTAAAAGCCACGCGCTCTACCACTGAGCTAAGAAGGCTGGTTAATTAATTAACTGAGTAACTTGAAAAATAACACAAAATATTTTACTAGAAGAGAGAAATTATATTCTCTCTCTCTCTCTATATATATATATATATTTAGTTAAATATTTTAAATTTTATATATGAAGGTGATCTATCGGATACATACTAATCTAAAGGTAAAAATTTATCCGCATTGTAAATGCAGGATTACAATGCAACAATAGAATTCTATTGGGAACCATTATTGGTGGAATCAAACTCAGATGACCCAGTGCACCATCGTCTCCCTGAGAGAATTGTTAGAGCAAATGCCATTGAAAAGCATGGTAGCCGTTGGACCAATGCTGATTTTATTGTCTTCAACACTTACCTTTGGTGGAGACGCCCCCATATCAAAGTCTTGTGAGTAAATTTAAAATTTAACTTATATAAACTGGCAGTCTAAATTTTTTATTATTATTAGTGTATCTATACCTGGTTATAGCATATGATCTTGCGTATCTTATTTCCAAGGGTAGTCACTAGTCAACCATCAAAATAACTAATAAGCAGTACTTATGATCATTATTATTCATCATCTCAGGTGGGGTTCATTTGAGAGGTCTGATGGAATTTACAAGGAAGTAAAAATGTTACGAAGCTATGAAATGGCCTTGAAGACTTGGGCCGACTGGCTGGAAATCCATGTCAATCGCTCCAAAACCCAATTGTTCTTCATGAGCATGTCGCCAGTTCATGAAAGGTAATCTCAAGACACTCTCGCCCTTCAATTTTTTTATTTTTTATAACCGTAGTGTCTGAATCAACTTATAACCGTAGTGTCTGAATCAACTTGCATGTGTCCTTCAATTATTTTAAACTTTATGCTTTACCTTTTCTCATATAATGAAAGCCAAGTAGATCACAGCTATGTTGCACGAACTCTCTAAAATGTAGTCACACCCGTGTCGGATCCTTCAAAAATGCACTATTTTTGGAGGATCCGACACGTATCCGGCCACATTTTCGGAGAGTCCGAGCAACATTGGATCACAGTGTCTATAGTTTTGCATTCAAGAATGTTTTAAGTGAGACCTGTTGGATTCATGGTCCTCATTAAATATGCTCCCCTATCAAAAGTTGCTGTATTCTACTTCAACATGATCGCCTCTTTTATTCTCTAAAACACTTATAACCCGATTTGACCAATCTTATAAACTTACTAAAACATCCTCATAGACCAAAGGTTCGTTTATTCGCCCCAACACTGGAAATCCCAATTATCAGCAATATCAGGTGATATTTTAGGTGTTTACTCACATTTTAGGCGCAAAACCAGAAATTTCGTTAAGGGCATTCAAAATTTAATACTATATATATACGTATGAAAAAATATACATACACAGTATATATGCATTTTTAGACAAAGAGTATTAAACTAACCACCCTTTACTGTATGTCGCTCCGCCACTGATTACAGGGCTGAAGAATGGGGCAAAGCAAAAGGTGAAAATTGTTACAGTGAGACAGAGCAAATACAAGAAGAGGGATACCAAGGAAATGGATCAGATCCAAAGATGATGAAAATAGTGGAATCAACTATGCATGAACTTAAACATAGAGGATTGAATGTTCACTTACTCAACATAACACAGTTATCAGAGTACAGAAAAGAAGGCCACCCTTCTATTTATAGGAAACAATGGGACTCTCTAACTGAAGAACAGATTGCAAATCCAAATAGTTATGCAGATTGTATACATTGGTGTCTTCCTGGAGTTCCTGATGTTTGGAATGAGCTTCTCTATACTTATTTTTTTAATAATTACTGAGAGTTAAAGAAATTGGGGAATTTGTAAAGTTTTTTCTTTTACCTTTTTACCAAAAGAATCAACAATGGTTTCTTTATTTAGCCCAAATGACTTGAACCTGGACCAAACGGTTGTAGGTGGGGCTGTTTTTATTCTTTTTCTGTGTCCCTCTCTCTCTCTCTCTCTCTTTTTTTTTTTGAATTTTGTTTAAATCCAAAATTGTAAGTGGTCTACTTGGCAATTGTATATAAGTGACAAACTGACAATTGCTATAAGATTTTTCTCTTTCTTTAAGAAACCAACTTTTTTAATTTGAGAAAATGCAGTACCCTTCATTTATTTAGATTTCTATTTGGATTTCATGGTCGACTCTTCAGTTATACTTCTTATTTACAATTCTTTTCTTTTCTGTCGAAAGTTATTTTTTCCAAAATTTATTGGATATATTAAGAAAAAAAAGACTATTCTAGTTTATTCAGAATTGTCTGTAGTGTCTAGTTAAGGGAAGCCAGATGAAGGTGACAGTAAATAGGCCAATATATACTGTAATTGCTTTGTCAGGAAAACTCAATTTTGACTAGTGCATGGGTTATGTGATACACTCAAGTCATAGTGGTTACAAAATCAATATTCCAAAAACTATATGATTGTGCCCAAAATTTCCCAAAATAATGCAAAAACAAACCGGCAAACACATCACTGTTTCAGCTTGGTGCAAAATAAGAGAAACACCGCAGCTTCAACATTTGAGTTTTACTGAACAGTACAACACTCAGTTTTCATTAATCAGGAATGTTGTGTAGTGCGTTGAAGACATAATGGCCTTATTGTTCTGGATGAATACATGCAAAGACCATAAGAGGAGAAGTTCTATTTATAAAGGATGCAGTAATAATAATACAGACCGAGAAGTCTTGTGTTAGAGTTGAATAACAGGATTTTCTGAACGTTTTATATATAAATGTCATTAGAAGATAGAAGCTGATCCATACACATAAGTTGCTTCCAGAAAATAAGAGGTCCTATATTGGTTGCTATGAGGGAAGTCATATACTGTAAGTAGTTTACAGCATCTGCATACTGCTGCCCCACAAAAACAACCACTGCAGCAATATCAAACTCCCTAAGTGAACCCAAGCAACAAAATAAGTGAACAGAGAGTTCAGGAACACAAGTATTGACTCCAATATATTACCACAAAAACTCACCTGGACATAGGAACTTCGTGCAATTACACAATAATGGAATTGATTGGCGAGGACGAAAAAGGGCCTGCAGGAACAGGTATCAGATGCATAAATTTGTGCAGTAAAAGCATGATAGCAGCAGATACTTACTCAAAACGCTCAACCGCCAGAGGAGACAAAGACAGCGTTTGGCGGTGGAGCCTTTTCGTTGGCCCAAGTAAAGATTAGTTTTGAAGACTGACAAAGGAACTCAGGATGAACCAGGTCCATCCCTCAGGTGCACAAAATCGGGCAGATTCGAGCATGTGGGTTGCACGTGGAGGAGATAAGCTTAACTTGGTGTATTTAATATCTCCTGATCGAAAAGGTTGCATAATTGATAAGGAGAAGGACTCCTTAATCAAAGAGAACACTATCCAAGATAGGGAAGGAGTTAGAAGTTGAAATTCGGCGGAGTTTTCGACACTATTTTGACATTGGTTATTTTAAAAAAATAAATAAATAAATAAATAGTTGTCTCCCTACACTGCTATTTTTTTTAAATAAGTATTTTCAGAAACCGGTCAACATGCAAGTCTGCAGCAAATAAATGTGCAAAACAAACAGGATGCAGCAGGATGGTCTTTTTTCATTTCGGGTTGCTTGTCCTAGACGGACCCAACCCCTGTGTTGAGTCCCCTATATCAAATGCAACATGATGCAAATAAGTGTTCCTACTAGGGATCCGGCATGAGGTTTTGTTATACTAGGTTCATCCTGGGTATATGTTTTAGACTGTGTACCCGAGCGGACAACTCGAGTCGAGGAGGGGGCTACGTACCGGGGACCCGCGAGATCGTCCGACTTTGTAACTTGTCCGACCTCTTTCTTATTTCAGGGTATGACACTAACAGAATAGGGAGTCATGACCAGCAAGCTCTTCCCCGGAGGTAAGAAGAGAAGGGTTTCGGCATAGTTTATATTCAATTCAGATAATATCAAAGCGGTAAAAGACAACATTTAGCACGTTATGCCCAAACAGGTAATAAAGATCAGATAATAAAGCCAAATATAACAATTATTCTAAGCTCGAATTCTTGAACCCTGAACCAGAGATTCTGGGTTCTAATCCCCAGCAGAGTCGCCAGAGCTGTCACACCTCCTTTTTCCCGCCCGCCCCGAAGGATAAATGCGCGAGGGAGTTTTTCCAATTTAAGTGACAATATTC